GAGAACTCAAAGAGAGCGTACTTTCTTTTTCACATGACTGTATGTTTCAAAAAAGTCTACTGCACCATTTCTAAGGTTTTTCCTGTCATTCAAAATCTCCACCATTGATTTTAATTTTTCTCAATTATCAGATGCTTGATTTTTTTTTTTTTTAAATAAAACCAGATTGGGCAGGATGGATGATGAAAAGCAAAATTGCTGGCAGAGTACATAGCAGGGTTGTGGTCAATATTTTTGCATCAACATTTAGTAAGGAAATTGGACAATAATTTGCACAGTGAGCATGATCTTTACCTATCTTCAAAATCACAGTTATATAATCTCACCAAAGGAGCTTGGAAAAACCTTACTTAAAAAGGCACCATTTTAGACTTTGAAATGTACTGGGGCAGAAACCTCAATATAGGTCTTATAATACATAATGGGACAACAAGGAGCTTTTCCTGTTTTCATAGTGATATCTATTATTCCTTGGTGAGATGGAAGCACAGCTAAATAAGCTGCTTTGTCTTACATAATCTTAGGAAGAGCTATGTTATATAAAAATTGATTACTTTTTTCCTCTGTTATATTTAATTCAGTTTTTTTTTTTTATTGTTAAACTTGTATGTCGCCTGTCTCCCCCAATGGGTGACTCTGCATTACATAATCGAGTATTACATAATCAAGAGTAAAAACTTTTAAAAGTTGATTTATTGACTCATAAACTATCCATCTCTCTTATCTCCTGGGCATCCTCACTAGTTTGCATAATATTACATTCTTGCAACTATTTCAGATGAGAGGTTAGTAATTTACCAGGTCTTTTACTTTGCTCCCAATATTTTTCCTTTATATGATTCAGTGATTATTTTGTTTCAAGGACTTAAAGGGAATTGTGTTCCTATTTAGCATGAATAAACACTTTGTGTAATTGGGGGTTTAAATCATCTGCATATATGCTCAAAAGCATATTTTCCTGTTTAACTTTTTCACCTTTTTTTTTTTTTATAAAGCATAAGAAATAAACAAGACTACACACACACATACACCTTAAAGGAATTCCAAACAACCAATAAATTTACAGTATCTGTTTATAGGAAGAATAATATTTAACAATTTGTGACTACTTTAATAAAGGTATATTTAAATATAATTTAGAAAAAAATAAGAGACCCAGAAGGAAATGCAGTACATTCATAAACAATAACTTAAAAAAAAATCCTTCTGAATCTCTCATTTCTTGTTTTCCCACAAATGTTGAATACTTGTGAATCAGAACTACTACATAACTAGTCAATTTTAAATTTCCACTAGGGCAACCCATTCCTTAGTTAAAAGATGGGGGAAGGATATACTTTTTTTTGTAAAAGAGCAAGTTGCTCAATTTAGTATCTGCCTCGTCTTAGTGGTATTCCTAAGATACTTTGTTTCCACATAACCAATAGAGATGTGTTGGGCTGAAACTAACAATGAGAAGAAAAGAAATAAATATATACATGTGAACCCTAATATTTCCAAAAATCAAGGAAAAGATGAGAAAAAGTTTGTTTTTTGGGGCTGACATGAATTTTTAAAAACTAAAACAAAAATCTCCTTCAACTGAATTTAGAGTTGCATATTCAATGAAAAGACATTACTTCAGCCACCGCTAGAGGGCACTATGGCAATGGGGTATGTGACTTGATTTTGGTTGTTGTTGTTTTTAATTCACAAATTCTAAATTAAAGCCAGTGTACTGGCTGGGGCATTCTGGGAGTTGAAGTCCACACATCTTAAAGTTGCCAAGGTTGAGAAGCACAGCAGTTAACTTTAGAGATGTACCCTTATCAAGTCAGAAATCAACTATTTGCATTGCTTCTCAAAGGAGATTGTCAACTGCTAAAAGAGAATTCAACTGTCCTTATGTATTTTTCTTTGCAGGAATTTGTCCCCAAAGTCATTGAGATAGTGACAAGCGACTGGGACAACGATGTGCAAACTGCTGGTTTGAAGCTGCTGAATGGGTTGCACATACCGGATGACACACATGCATTGCTGAGAACACAGCTTGCAAACTTTATGGACATTCTGCTCACAGCAAACACTTTGGCCAAGGTACACAACACACAGGGACCTTCTTCTCTTTCAGTAAGCCCAGGGGCTTGAGACTGGCTAACCCTGGCGCAGGGCAGAAATGCAGCTTCACGTCTATAAAGAGATGTTGATCACATTCAGCATCTTTCCTCTAAATGCATCATTAAATTCAGGGTGCAGCAATTCGAATTCTGATCTATTCTAGTTCTCTGACTCAGTTCTGAACCTAGTTTTTAATTCTGCCCACCCCCACCGCCCCCTTCAGCCTGTCTTCTGTGAGTCACTAAGCATATTCGGTCCTCATTAGATAGGATTTCTTTTTCCCCTGATATTTTAAAAAATTGTTAGTACTCTTTGTCAACCTTGGGGTATCCTAAAACCTTGCTGATGCTTCTCTCTTATTCATGGATACTGCAATTTTTGCTGAATGAAAATGGTCATAATGGTTCTCATAACCTGAACATTAGAAATAGAGCAAAAAAGTTGGGCCTGCAGTAAAATATTAAAAGGTTCTTCTTCAGGCCTTTTCCAGGGCACACTGTTCTGTGCCCCAACTGCTGTTACCTATTCATGGGCACTAATCCTACCTAGTAACCACTGGAGTATAGTTTGGTAGGGTTTTTTTTAACATTTGCAAAAATAAGGATCATGAGAAGCCTGCTAATACCTCCCTGTGTTGGGCAAGTGGTGTCAGTTTTGTTACATTGATAACCTCAACATCAGAAATGCAGATAATAATTATTAGAATTCATACTCCCTTTCACTTCATTATGAAGCCAGCTTTGCATAACTACTGGCAGACTAGAAAGCGCTACATGGAATCTTCAACCAGTCTGATTCATGTCTATATTTTGCAACTGGTAATCTACCATAGATGCTCTAGAGCAGTGTTTCTCAACCTTAGCAACTTTAAGATGAGTGGACTTCAAGTCCCAGAATTCCCCAGCCAGCCAT